AAAAGCTATCGACAGAATTCACACACTTTCGAGGCATTTCAGATCAGCACTTAAATTAATTTAAAAATCAACTTCACACGATAATTTCAATAGCAACCACGTGCGTACAATTGACAAACTCACATAGGTTATGTTTACTACTTAAGAACAGCTGATGAGAGGGGTGTTATGTAAACAAACATGTGTACCAACTGTTGGTGATGAAATATTTCATTTGTTGAAAACTCAATATACATATATATGATATAATGATACTATATCTTGAAAACAAGAGCTAATATATAATTTTTATGGTCACTTTCGGTTTTAACACGTGGAAATACATTAAAATCATCTAATTTCAACCCCGAAACAAAAACTTTGTTGTGTTGTGTAATGGGTCTCTTTTGTCTTTAGCCGACCTGAGGATTTGTTGTATCTTCCTCGTGGGTTTGAAGACTGTTTCGATGTCGTGTTTGCCCAATAGTTCTCCAATTCTATCCGTGACCCCAGGGACACGGTAGATATGCGCGTGCAACCATCTGATCCTTTTTCGCTTTCTGAACCATGGTGCCCTTCGGTCTCATGGCTCTTCTGGTCTCGGAGGCACTGTATCCATTCGATCTCAAGGTCACTTCCAGGTATTTCAGTTCCCTCTCCAGATATTTTGGTTTATATATTCTCCGAGCCCCTTCTGTTAGAGTGGAGATAGCTCCTCTCTTTTGGCTAGGATGGTGGTTCGATAGTGCGTTCAAGTATCTATCCGTGTGTGTGGGTTTTCGATACACTTTGTGGGTTAGTCTGGTACCACATCGTTCTACTAGTACATCTAGGAAAGCGGTTCAGGGTGTCTCTCCATGTTTCCAGATGACGAAGGTGTCATCCACGTAACGTAGCCATAAGGTCGGCTTCAATTCAAAAGTGTCTATCACCTTCCCTTCAAACCGTTCCATGAAATAATTAGCTATCACTGGGCTAAGTGGACTCCCCATCGCAATGCCATCTAGTTGCTCATAGAAGTTTCCCCCCCATTGAAAGTAACTTCCTGTGAGACATGCTCTAAAGAGTTCGACGATGTCATTCGGGAACACGTGGGCTAACCCCCTCAGGGGGGAATTGAAGCCGACCTTATGGCTACGTTACGTGGATGACACGTTCGTCATCTGGAAACATGGAAGAGACACCCTGAACCGTTTCCTAGACCACTTGAACGCCCAACACCCGAGCATACAATTCACCATGGAGATTGAGCAAGACTAACGGATAGCTTTCCTAGATGTACTAGTAGAACGATGTGGTACCAGACTAACCCACAAAGTGTATCGAAAACCCACACACACGGATAGATACTTGCACGCACTATCGAACTACCATCCTAGGAGTTATCTCCACTCTAACGGAACGGCCTCGGAGAATATGTGAACCAGAACATCTGGAGAGGGAACTGAAATACCTGGAAGTGACCTTGAAATCGAATGGATACAGTGCCTCCGAGACCAGAAGAGCCATGAGACCGAAGGGCACCACGGTTCAGAAAGCGAAAAAGGATCAGATGGTTGCATACGCATATCTACAGTTTGTTCCTAGGGTCACGGATAGAATTGGAAAACTATTGGGCAAACACGATATCGAAACAGTCTTCAAACCCATGAGGAAGATACAACAAAGCCTCAGGTCGGCTAAAGACAAAAGAGACCCATTATCAGCAGCAGGGGTCTATCGCATTCCGTGCCCTTGTGGAAAGGTATATATCGGAACCACCAAACGATCCATGGGAACAAGACTGAAAGAGCATAAAATGAAGTGCAGACTAGGCCAAACAGACAGGTCAGCTGTGGCAGAACACGCACTGAGTGAAAGATACCACAGAATTTTGTTTGAGAACACAGAACTAATTGCCCCCAACCAGGGATACCATATCCGACTGGTACGGGAGGCAATAGAGATCCACAAACACACGGATAATTTTAACAGAAAAGAAGAAGCGGTGAACCTCAATTAAATATGGAACCCCATTCTAAAGAATTCGAGAATAACGAACAGGACAACAGGCAGCAAGATTGTCAATGTTCCAGGTTCAAGTGCAGGTACGAATACAGGTACAAATTCAGGTATAAATACAACTGATTACCTGACAAGGCATAAATACGCTTTACGAAGCCTAAAAGGGTAGTCATCAGACAGCAAGCCATGATGGTTAAACCTTTGAAGAAGCTAACCATTCGCGAAAGAGCAACGCCAGGAAGAAATTCCAAAAACCCATGGCTTTCAAACTCGAAAAGCAACGACACTGAAAACCTCAGCCGTGAAAGTCTAAACCATTTTGTCAATTATGATTATTATTATTATTATCATCAATATCGAATCTACACTATGTGATTTATATTATATTTGTAATATTTGTAGGTATTAGTGCCAATGTTTGGCTTTCTGGCAAGACGTTGACCAAATGGAATTGGTGTATGGACGAAGGAACCCCAGCGGTATATTTCAGCTGGAACCCAAAAAATGAATCTTCTTTTGAACTGAGAGTTATCGACAATACTAGCAAGCTGAATAGTACGAAATATATATCCGATGAAGATCAATTCACTATTCAGAAAAGTGTATCCCAAAGTGAAGTTATTAAAATTAGATCTGAGAGGTCACTGGAAACGAAAAATATTTACGCTTTCGTAAATCTTGCCAAGGAGTGGAAAAGAAAGTCATGTAGTGAACCAGTATTAGAAGTTTATCTGAACGAAGATTTGCTTTTTACGAATTCAACCAATATGAATGACTTTGGAAAAGAAGAACCTCCAAAGGAAAAAATTGAAATTTATATAAAAGCAAACTCAAGTTATTTTACTGATCACCAATTCAAGATTGAAAAAAAATATATTTTCGTTTCCGAACCGGTTAGTATAATAATATTAGGCCTTGTGAGTTTTCCATGCATGACTGTTTAGAATTGTTGCATATATCAAAACGTCTCTCACATTTCGGTCAAGTGACATCTCGTTTGTTTCTAAAGTTCTGTTCGTTTTAATGTTATGTGTTTTAGTTGCTCCATATCTCAATAAATATGCATTCTACTGTATCGTGGTATAAACTTATCCATAGTAAATTTTGTACTCTATACATTGATGCTTCTCTTTTTTTCCAAATTTTAATTTTTGCCACTTGTCAGTTTATTACTATATGATGTCGTTAGGCGAATTTCTGCGAATTTTTCTCTACGAATTCAAATTGAACCAAAGTGCTATCGAAACAATTAACCAGACGTTTGGCAATGGTGATGTTAATGAATGCAGTGTTCGACATTGGTTTGCGAAATTTAATTCCAGAGAATTTAGCCTCAAAGATGAGTTCTGTTATTCTTTGCTTTTCACGCAACAAAAACGATTGGATCGTCACGTGTGATGAAAAGCTGATCCTCTACGACAATAGCAGATGTTCATGACAGTGGTTGACACCAATGAGCCATTCATGCACTTCCCAAAGGCGAAAACCCACCAAAAAAGACCATGGTTACCGAATGGTGGTCAGCGGCTGGTGTGATTCACTAGGACTTTCTGCAATCGGGTCAAACCATCACAGCAGAGTCGCATTTTGAGAAAACGGACGGAATCTATCGAAAATTATATCAGCAGCAACCAGCGCTGGTCAACAGAAGAGGTCCAATCCTGCTTCACAACAACACTCATTCGCACGTTTCATAAATCACCGTTCAAAAATTAAACGAATTGGGCGTCAAAATTCTGCCTCACCCACCATACCCCCAGGCATCTCGCTAACCGACTACTAGAGGTCATTCACAGAGCGGACATCTGAATACAAAATTTTTACTTCTACTCTGACTGTTGTTCCCACAATAAAACCAGTTTACTTCAAAGAAAAGCTTCATAAATGTTTTGTTTTGAGTGACTTCCTAAAATTCCTGATGGACTTGAATCGGGTAATCTTAAAGACCCCTTCACCGGTTTTCTTCGACCAATCCACCTACCATGAACAAAAGGATTCATTCAAATACTCACACACATAAAGATACAGGGAGTAGGTACCTCATAATGTTTATATTGAAATTTTCACTTCAACTGTGTCTTTTGTTCCCACAGTAGAACAAGTTCAGTTCAGAGAAGAGCTGCATGATCGGTTGGTTTTGAGTGACTTCCTGAAATATCTGATGGACTTGAATAGGGTAATCTTCCAGACCTCTTCACTGGTTTTCTTCGACCAATTCACCTACCATTGCCAGAAAGTTTCATTCAAATACTCACTCACATAAAAATACAGGGAGTAGGTACCCCATATTGTTGATATTGAAATTTTAACTTCAACTGTGACTGTTGTTTCCACAGTAGAACAATTTTAGTTCAAAGAAGAGCTCTATGAAAGGTTGGTTTTGAGTGACTTACTAAAATATCTGATGGATTTCAATCGGGTAACCTTATAGACCTCTTTACTGTTTTCCTTCGACCAATCCAACTACCATGCATAAAAGGTTTCATTCAAAACATAAAGATACAAGGGATAGGTACCCCATATTGTTGATATTGAAATGGTAATTCATGGCCTTTGTAAGGGTAACTATGCTTCAGAATGTTTGTCAATGTTTGTCAATGACAGTGTATTGTGAAATGTGCAAATACATTTTTCCTCAAAGATGACAACAACACAGTTATAATACATTCTAGCCCACACGTTTGGCTACTCAATATGTATGAACTTCATGGTCACAGTGTGTTTTTGTCAACATCGATCGTTTTCGTTTTCTTTATAGAATCCAATTATCTGTACTGGTTTCGCAGTTGAGAAAACAATTGTGAACAAAATAATAAGTAGAATTAGTGTCTCAGTCAGAACACTGTGAGATGCTAAATATACAGGGTGTTCCTTAAACACATGCTGATGTTCAAGGAGGTGATTTTTAGACCCATTTTAAGAAAAAAACTTCCTAAGGACGTATGTCCTAAACGCCTTAACTTTTGAGATACAGGGTGGCAAAGTTTTCAAAAATAATCAGTTTTTTAATAATAACTGAGATAATTTTGTAGACATCTTTGATACATATGTTCCATGCCTCAAGGCGCATTTTCTGATGTACACAAATTTGTATTTTTTCAAACAGTGGCATCCCTACGGGTTTCGCATTTTGGGGAAAAAGTACTACGCCAATGCTTTCTTTTCAAAATAAAATCATTTTTTAAATCCTCATTTATTTTTGAGAAAATTTGATCTCCTGGTATTTCTTTGTCCGACGCATGATTTTCACTCAAAAAAATAAAAATCGACAGAAAGCAAATTAAGAAATTAGATCAATTCTAAAATGAATGAGAATCTGAAAATTGCTTCATAACGCATTACCAATTCCCTAATAATATTTGAAAACATAATATGCAGAAAAATAAATTTTTCACAAAAACGAGTTTTATTTTATTTTGTTGCAGTAAGTCTAAACGAATAGCACAAATTTGTTAATTAGTAATAATACCAAAACTGATTATAAAAATTGTTGGAAGTGGCCACCTGCACTTAGTATGCATGCTTCCGCCCTTCTACGCATGGAATTACGCACCCGTTCAAATATTCCCGGCGTATTTCGTATAGTTTCACATGAGGCAACTATTCGCTCTCTTAAATCTTCTAAAGTATTAACGCTGGTGGTGGTGGGTACGCTGTTTTTTCTGCTTTTGATCTTTAAAAGAAATCACATATCGACAAACTCTATATTTCCAAGAGGTGCAGTAAATAAATTCTGCTACACGTCATATATTCCCGGATAACTAAATTTATGTTTTCAAAAATTATTAAGCGGTGCTGCGTTATGACGTAATTTTAATTGAGAACAGTGCATCTGACAACAAACAAATACCTTTTAGATCCTCGATTATTCTGCAACAAATCTGATATCTTAGTTTGCTTTCAGTCGATGCACGATACCGCATCAGATTTTTAAGGAATTTATCCTTAAGTAAAGCGATTTTTAATTTTTTGAGCGAAAACCATGCGTCGTACAAAGAAAACCCAGCAAATCAAATGTGCTCAAAAATGTATGGAGATATTAAAAATAATTTTTAATTCAAGATATAGCAGTGGCGTAGTATTTTTTTCGCCAAAAATATACATTTCAAAACTCGTACGTACGCCACTGGCAGAGAAAAATTAGGAAAATTGTACATCAGAAAATGCGCCTTGAGGCATGGAGCATGTATCAAATATGCCAAAGATGTCTACAAAATCATCTCAGTTATTATTAAAAAACTGATTATTTTTGAAAACTTTGCCACCCTTAATATGGGTCTAAGAATTACCTCCTTAAATATTAGCATGTGTTTAAGGAACACCCTGTAGAAGAATGATGTATAAATATTATTCTTCTCTGCTATCGATGAAAAGTAGCAAAAACTGCATTTTTATTACAAACATCAATTTTTTTTTAAACGTCAGCTATGATAAATCGGATTCATTTTGTTCTATTGATTATATGAATGAATATTTGTTGAAGTGATAGCTGGTTTTTTTTCCATATACATTTCCGTATGTATTATTCGAAAACAAAACTTTAAATGATTTGCATGTAATTTTTCGGAAACTTGTCATTGCATCTGTTTCATTAGTGAATTTTTACCACTTTCTGAATAGATTCAATGCTAAATCTCAATCTTTTTTCCAGGCAACTTTTTTCACAGCCAGGCAAGATTGCTCCGAAAGAGGCACCCGGCTATTAACTATAAAGAGTGAAGATGAAAGTAAAGATGTTGTGGAAGCTATGGAAAAAGAACGTGAGTTTCATTATGTCGTTATAGTTTGAGCGTCAGGAACTATGCGTTAATACTGACTTACTTGGCAAATCTAGCTGTGCCTCTGAGATGCGCGAACGATAAGAGTATATGGTAACTGTCCACTACCAACTTTTATCAGGAAGTACAATCGGGAAAAAAATTTTGGCTTGAATAAATTCGGCAAGTCTTGACAACTACACACACACATACCTGTCGCGCAATAGTAGTGTGGACACCACGCCCTGGTGTGAATTGTGGGGTTTTCGAAGACCAGGCGGTTGAGGCTTATTAGGTGAATACACAGCTATTGCCAGTTCTTCTTTACACACCAAAGCCAGTGACTTTTCATCAAAACAGACATCTGTGGCCATGACCACACCTCAACGGTAACTGCAGGTCAACCCACTGATGTCATTTTGTGGCCACATACACAATTCACACACCTCAAAATTTCAAGGTCATTATCTCCAAGGACATTATTTCAGGTATCATTATGCCATATACACTTGTTTTATATAGTGTTTATATACAATTATAGAAAATTTCCTGAATGCTGGCAATATAGATTTTTTCATTTCGATTATTTTAGAAACAACTGAAAGTATTAAAAACTCTAACGGGAATGATTTTATTTGTCAGTGGATCATTTCTACAAATGATAATCGAGCATTTTAAATAAAAAAAAAAGATTTTGATATAGATACTTTTATAATCGATGCTTGTTTTATTTAGTGAACGTTTATTTTCACCTGTCTCTTGTTTATACTACAAAAAGTTTTTCATGAAAGTAAACTGCTGAATCTTGAATAAAATTTGCTCCCGATAATGCAGTAGTTGCCATTGATTTCATGCAGTATATTTCAATGTAATGAATTTCGATACATGATTCACTGAAAAATCTTAGTAGATTGGGAAGATACTGAAAATGAATTAAAAAATAATAATAATACTGTCTTCATTATTCTCGGATATATTTCTTCTAACAATTGTTTAGTCAATGTTGAATCAATTGAAAATAAAATGCGAAGTTCAACTCGGTGGCAAAGAAAGCCAGTTTATTGATCTTTTATAAAAGTTATTATTGTTTTTATTTCGATTATTTTCGAAACAACTGGTACTTTTGGTTTCTCTACAAACACCAAAGTCGGCAACTGCACCGTTCGCTCCATATCAATCTACTGATGCCACTTAGTGGCCACATACACACTTCACACACGTTAAAATTTCAAGTTTATTATCTCCAAGGGATGAGGTATCATTATCTGGCCATACACCGTCATATCCAACTGCGTTAATAAAACAATAATCAATTAATCTTCATTAGTTTCATTTGTACTACAATTCCCAGAGTGAATTTCATAATTTACTTCGAAATCTATCGGAACAAAATCTATAATGAATTAAAATATTGAAAATCCCAATATGTAATATAGAGTAAGATTCTGAAAATCCCTTCAAAATGAGTTAGAAAACGGATTGTACAAATTCCTTTGGAAAGTGGTCACTCAAAATTAGATCTCACTATTTTGAACATATTTTCTATCAAGCTCAGAATTTGAAAATACAAGAAGTTGGATGTGTTCTTTGAAAAGTAATCGATCGTATATTGTTGCCGATTTATCAACCTTATTCTGACAATTAAACACTGGTTTCATTTACTTTTTTTATTTAGTTTTTTTTATACACACCAAAGCTTTCGACTTATCATCGGAAATAACTACACAGCATATCAACCTACTGATATCATTTTGTGGTCAAAATAATCATGTGGCCATTCATACACAGTCGTGCCCGAATGCCTTAATAAAAATAATGAACTCCTGGCCACTGAAAGTGGATTGAAATTCCATGAATTGAAATCGGAATTGAGCATGCGCATAAAATGTAGTCATCACAATTGATCTTATTGATTTATTTCAAGGTATGGAATTCCCAACTTTGATTTCATTAAATAGTTGAAAAACGTAATTCAAAATGTGAAATATAATGGAAAAATCTTTCAAATTTTTAAATTTGATTCATTACAATTAGTTAGGAACCAGACTGACGAATGTGCTACCGTCCGCTCAAGATGTTTAGAAACCCTGGTGACAATACAGATTTGTTTGGCGTGAAAGCAAACAATTGAGTAAAACCATTATAGAAATTTCACGTTATCAGTCTTCATTATTTTTTTTTACTTCTTGAGTGTGTTGAATATTAAGTTTTCATACTGGAGTTCATACATTAATAGCGTTGAAACAGGCGAATTTCTCCACATCAAATTTTGGATGTTACCTTCTGTCTTCTCTGCCTTTCAAAAAGCCAGGAAAAAATCACGGGTGCTTAGTCCCTCCCATTCCTCAAACAGTTCTTAGTAAACGTCGTCCACGTGCGACGGGGGTCTTCAGAAAAACCTATTTAGCTGAATTGACAAAACTTTCAATGTTGGATATTGATATGCCCATATTTACATCTTGAGCTACGTGACAAATATATCTGACTGTGCATCTTCTCAAAAGACGCTGATGAATAGTGTTTATATAAACACTCTCGATCCCCCGGCCATAATTTTACATTGTATGAGAGACAGATCCGGTGTTTGAAAAATCTGAATTGAAGAAATATGTTTATTCCCGAATTTAGAATATACAGTGTGTCAATTTGAAAACTTCCCACCCTCAATATCTCCCTTCCAGTACATAATATGAAAAAATGGTCAGACAGGTCAACTTTATTTGCAAGGGGGACACTCTGAATGAATATTTTCAACCCTCGGGGTTCAACCCCCTAGGAGGGGTGGATGTTACCCTCAGAATTTCAAATGGAAAGGGGGGTCAAGTGGCACATCNTCTACATTCCTCTCACATCCACGAATTCGAATATTACTCAAGGGTTGGAACGATGCTACCTAGTACGATGCTCACCTTTTCCAATAGTCCATTACAATCATTTGTTTTGAATACCAACCTGAATACCAAACATCTAGTGCGGGCGAGTTTTAATCATTTATTCTTATTCACTTCTAATCACCGTTCGTTTGGAACGTTATTGTTCAAAAACTGCTCATCAAAAACTAATGAAAAAGGTATCATTGGCAAGAGAATTGAATGCCCTTCAAAATGATGTGCCACTTGACCCCCCTTTCCATTTGAAATTCTGAGGGTAACATCCACCCCTCCTAGGGGGTTGAACCCCGAGGGTTGAAAATATTCATTCAGAGTGTCCCCCTTGCAAATAAAGTTGACCTGTCTGACCATTTTTTCATATTATGCACTGGAAGGAAGATATTGAGGGTGGGAAGTTTTCAAATTGACACACTGTATATTAGCATACATTATTTTCGCTAGGTATTAATTAAAGGTGTTGTCACTGTCGAGTGATATTGTGAATACTCACTATCTGAACTATTCCCAATTTGATCAGGTACGTCGATACATCTCTATTGGAAATAGTGTGTCAATATGCTTGCTGCAATTTAAACAATATGTCAAGAACGTTTGTATGTGTTATGAAAATATTGTTTTATGATCAAGTAGTTCATAATTTGAATCCATTCAAATCAAAAATAGTTTTTACTTCCACTTCAATTGAAAGTGAAATTTACTAAATTGCTTTTCCGAATAACGCGTGTTGAAGTTGTTATGAATAAGCGGTTATGTTCAACTGCTTAGAATATATTTCGCTTATCAAACTTGGGCTACTATAGAGTTTGGGTGTATGTCTGACTTTGAGAAATATTTTGAGACCCCGAAGCTTCATTGTTTTCGGGAAATTATTTGCTGGTATCATTTCTAGGTATTTGACAGCATTTAGGCTACTATAAATACAGAAGGGACCTATAATATACTATCCTAATATTCCTGTCCAAACATTGACTTTTTGTGGTTACTGAGTACGCACAGAAATACCTAGCTGTTGATTTGCCCGAAACCAATATCAAACAATGGATGATGGATTATGTTTCATATGTGAAGAAAATGATCACTCATCAAAAATTTGTATGGGAAACACGTGTTGCGTTTTTGTAAAATTATTTCAGTGAAAATCTCACAATAAAGTGTGTTTTTGAATACATTAGTTTTTGATTTTCATCAAGTATCGGCCAATTCCATGATATAACCAAAATAAAATTTGTATTTCTCCCTCCTTTCAATGGACTGACTTGTTACCTGCGAGTACTGACGATCAGTCGCAACAGTGCGGAAAGGGGAACGGTGGTTCAATTAAATAGTTGATATTCCATCGCGAACAAATATCTAATTTTGAACTGGTCGACTGCTTTCGCGGACATAGTCCAGAATACATTGGGTTTTATATGTTCCGATATTTATATTCCACATCTGTACATGCATAAGCTTGAGAAAAACTCAATTATACAAATTTTTGTATGAATTTCACGATTCGACACGTGTTTTGCTATACGATAGCTTTCTCGAGCACGAATAATGAATCAGTTCTAAAATACTACCAACCATATTCATACTGAATATAACTGGAGTTTTTTCCCAACCCAAACCATTATTTTCAACACCACGACATGTGTTTCGATCACCAAGTGATCATCTTCAATAATATAAACACATTTTAATGGTTAAGAGTAGGAGTTATCTCATTTCAGGTAGACTGTGACGTCATCATAGAAGTCAGGGTGCTTCTAGGCTCGCTATAAATGGCAGAGTATACCAAATTGTCACGTGGTGTCATGTCACCCAGCGGTGAACTAATCAGAGTGTACCAAATTGTCACGTAGTGTCCTCAAACTGTCACGCAGCTCGCCAGCTAATCAGTGCACACACTTTTGCATCTCAGAACATCGTGGCGAGAAATTTTAATTTTCTGTGGACATAAATAGTTCAGGCAGACAGACGACCAGACGTATCCCTTAACGAGACAGACCGCCCAGTCTCGTGATGTACTTACATCGCTCAACACATTTTTGTTTCATGACGTCATAAAAAAAGATTCCGTTGGAGAAGTGAACGCAGGTCTTTGATGCGATAGACTTGATCGTTAGCCAC